ATAGACAACACTGTTATAATATATATTAAATACACAAATGTTTATATCTTGAACACTAGAGCTGTCAAACACTGGTTATCAAAACACAAACCATGCCTAGGATACACCCGATACTATTCGCAGATCAGATCCGCTGGCACAGCCGATGACAGACTAAGGGTTTCCAATGTCTTTGGAGGCCGTATTTACCACTTTTTTTTTTTTGGGTGCAGGGAGTGGGTGGCCTTAGAGGATGGGGGGTGATTTGGGAAAAGGAGGGGGGGGGGGGGGAATTATTTCAGCCTGAGGAAATATTACCACACAGCTAATTGTTTGCACAAACTATGCAGGTTGGAACATTTCTAATTCTGACAGAAATATGACCGCTAATGGTCAGGTCTTGATCAGATATGACTGAGCTGCGGTAAAACAGTAGCCGGTACCACTTGTTTTCTGTTAGGCCGAATGTCGGATGGCGTATGCTAACCCAACATCCCATGTTGTGCCAGCGGCTTCAGGCGGAGGAGTGCATTGTGGAGGATACTAGCCTCATCCTAGGAAAAGGAAATGCATCATGAAAACGTTATGTTATGGCAGGGCAGACCAGGCCCTTCACCTTGGCTGGCAGCTGGTCTAGGCTCTTCTGATCTGGCAGCTTCTGAAGCCTGCCTTGTTCTAAACGTACTGGTTTTATTTTTCCTTTGGGGTAAACAAGGCAGGTCGAAGGAGGGATCATTATGCATGGGCAACACATGGTCTCTACAATACTGCCCAAACTTTGTGTTATGGCGAGGAGGAACTTCATCCCTGACCTTGGTCGGTCTCGGAAACAAACCACCCACTCAGAGGAGGAGCCGCAATGTTTACTATCTGCCTTTGCTGAACTTGGACTAACAGTCACATAAAAGAAGACACAGGTTATGGTACAAGGTGGTAATGACAGACCTTCAGTCTACATTGACGGTGAAGAGATTGAGGCAGTGGACCATTTTACCTATTTGGGTTCCACGGTGAATATTAAACTATCTCTGGACCAAGAAATCAACATCAGGATAGGTAAGGCAGCAACAACGATGAGCAGATTAACAAAGAGAGTTTGGGGGAACAGAAAGCTCACAATTAAAACAAAAACCCTTGTCAATCAGGCTAGTGTTCTCAGCACTCTGCTTTATTGCAGTGAAACTTGGTCAAACTATTTACACTAGGAGAGACGGCTAAATCGCTTTCACAGCGATGCCTAAGAAGAATACTTGGCATTAAGTGGCATAACAAAATCACAAACACTGAGGTGCTGAAAAGAGCAGGTACTACAACAGTCTACGAAGGCTCAAGTGGCTGGGTCACACTTGGAGAATGGAGGATAGCAGAGTCCCTAAGGACATCCTTTATGGTGAATTAAACACAGGAAGACAATGTCGAGGTCGAATTCTACTACGGTATAAATATGTGTGCAATTGGGACATGAATGATACAGGTAATAAGTTGGACTCATAGGAACAAAATGTCATGGACCGTGTTGTGTGGAAAGGCCCATCAGGAATGGAATGAAAGTGAAGGAAAAAATAACTGCAGGAAGGGGGAGAGCTGATCGTCTCAAAAGAAACAGATTAAACACAAATATTGACAACAATGTTCGTAAAATCCAATGCTATTATTGTGGAAGACAAGAATTTCGCCGGAAACAACACAAGGGCGGGTCTTGCTAGTCACACTCGCCATCGCCATGAGCTGTGAGTCCCATGCCCCCTAATAGCGCAATATAACACTATCGTCTGGGAAGACGAAAAGGTGCCAATGAATATGAACGCTAAAGGCCACTTTTAAAATTGCAATTACGTCTTTGAATATCAACGAAGAAGCGTGGTAGGCCGCTGCTACGGTGTGCCGCTGCTCCCCTGGGAGCCGCGACCCCTTTACAGGGTCGACACAAAATACTGTACTTCATAATTATTTAACCAAGACTCGAATAGGCAGACTTTTACTTAGGTTAGGGCTCAGTGGAAAATTTTCAATTGAAAAAAAAAAAAAAAAAAGGCGCAGCGACCAAGAACAGTTTGGGAAACACTTGTGCACAGTTTCGAAGTAGAGTTTGCAGGTCACTGGTGGTTGCACGGGCAGACACAGCATGGTAAATCCGACATCTTGCGTCTCTTCTATCTGTTGTTGTCTGCACAGGTCAAGATCTTTCTATGCTGAAAAAAAAGTACTCATCAACCCATTTGTACTCATAACCATTGCCTCTTTATTTCCATCTAATGGATGTTATATGGCCGTCATCACTTTTGTTGGACGAAGGAGCATCACTGATGACCTGTAAACTAACACACCATTCTTTTAGTCTTGTAGTCTGGTCTGTCTTTTCCAGGTCATAGACTGGCTTGGGTACAGCTTCGCAGTTCTGCCGCTAATCGTGTCCTGCACAATGTCCTTTGCAAACTACAGTAAGCTGTTATATTCTCTTTCGTTGCTATGTTTCTTGCAGCTGACAACACAGAGGTCCTCGGGGAATTCTGTTTTAAACAAGTTCGCAAAAGTTTCCTAAAACAGTCGCTGTTTCCCGTCTGTCTATGAATAAACTGATTCTAGTGTCTATGTAATTACATAATTAGGTTACATGCAGTCTGCACACTAGGAGGTCGTTTGGAGTTTTATTCGTGCCAGGTCATTGCAACCATTAATCGGCACGTGCAACACTTACCTGCACAATCACTGGAAAAAAAAGGGGAAAGGGGGGTGGGGGGGACTCGAATAATATCTGTTAACATTAGTCAGCGAATGACAGTTGTTGTAAAATCTGTTTTAGGTGGCTTTTGTTAGAAATGTTTGTATCCTATGTAAGGAGCAGGGTTTGATACTCCATATGATAGAACTCAATGAGAGCTTCTGTTGGAGCACGGGAAAGGTGATTACAGCTACTTGCATTTAAAAAGCTATTATACTGACTCTATTACATTTAGCCCATTAGAACCCATATCGGCCGGGTAGACTGCACAAGGTGAGTGGCCCTAAGTCTTGAGCTCAGTGTTGCCTAGTTCCTAACTCAGTAGACCTGCCATGTTACTTTGCGTACGCATTTAATGCTCTAATTTGACTGCCATATATGGCTGAACATGACGTTGGCTCCCAACCTTGAATGAGAGTTAGATGGAAACCATGCAAGCAACAGCGGCCGGCTTCATGCTGACCATATCACCCACCATATGCAGGATTGGTTTGTAAGAAGAAACTCCACAGGAGAGCATGTACAGCAGGAGTCTACCAATCATCAGTAGAAGTAATCTCTCGTCGACAAATGTTTCGCCCACGAGCTCCTAGACATTTTCTGAGAGTGGGCCCACCTGATTTTGCGAGGCTCAGGGTTTGTTTCCCCTGCTGCACGTATTACCGGAAGTTTTTCGGACACGGACAAGACGAATCTGTGACTTGCAAAATGGTACTGTGAGATAAGAAGTCGTTGCGGTAGCATAATTAAAGCAGTCTGCATAACTGGACGACCGAGTGCCAAGCTTAAGTTAGGTTTACCGGGCACATGTTGGACTTTGTTAGCAGGTGGCAGAGGGACATTGGTAGACAATTCGGACACGATGGACTTCAAGAAATAAGACATTCTTTTCCACTAGATACCTGAACCAGCTCACCGAGGCCCGTCCCCCACGACGTTCCGTTGTGTCCAGAGCCAGCCCGAGGCCCTCTCAGCAACCTCGCCCAGTTGTTTAAGTGTTCGTTTGCGTTCATTACCTCGTAAGCCTAGTTGTTTAATCACATTGTAAAGTGAACTGGAAACGAGACCTCGTGCGCCTACCTCGACGGCGAAGATTCTTACTGTTTACGCTTCATCTCTCCTCAGACCAGCCGCTAAGTCACTGTATTTCTCGAGCTTATTCATATGGCTTTCGTCCATTCGCGACCACTACGAAACGGCAAGCTCAATCAAGATGAGCTGACGCTTCTCCGCAAAGTGGAGAAATATGTCTAGTCGCAGGCCGGTCTTCCAGATTAACTCATGGTACTTTTCATGGCCAGACAGGTCAACCGCCAGTAACCAGTCCCGCACACAGTCTAGCTTTGAAAGAGCGTATACGATTTTGTTGAATTTACCTTGGTGAATCTGCCCAGCCTTAAGAAAGCGTTGGGAACGACGGTAGGACTGGCCATCGCATTGGCCTGCATCCTAGCTTGGTCCACAACGGCTGCTAACTCTTTTAGCACCTTGTTGTGACGCCAAGTATATCTGCCTTGACCTAGGGCTTTTTTTGCGTTTGCTTAGCTCTGCATAGCAGGCATGAGGAGTCGTTAGCAGCACCCCACTTGACCATGTTGACACCAGACGGTAATACATCGTAGGTAGAACGAACGATAAAGCTCAGTCGCAACGGGGTCATTCGCCAGGTCTCACCCAATGTAAGTACTCTTTGCAAGGCGCTCTAAATGCTGATTCAATTGCCCTGCTGTGACTGTTGGGCTGCTTTCTGAACCTTAACTTCGTTTTCGTTGTCCCTTATTTGCTGTTTCACCACGTCTTGGCGCTCTTTGGCTATGGTTTTGGACCACCAACTGACTTTCCTGTGACCTAGGCCTCGACGGTCGGTTTGAGTGTAACCCATAATTTCCCTAAATTTTAGTGCATTCTGGGCAGATTCGATCGCATCTAGGACCTTCCACTTCAGACCAGTCTTTAGAGCGGGCTGGACAGCGATGACATTTGGGTCTGAAAACTCGCGCAAGAGCATGACGAGTCTTACTTTGCCGACTTTAAATTCTTCGGTAATTTTTTTTTTGAACAGAAGAAACAGCTTAGCCTGCTTAAAATACAGAGCCACATCAGTCAGACAAGGCGGTGCACCAATCCACTTCCTCATGGCTGTGTTGATTTTCCGCTCCATCGTCTCCACTGTAGTCATCTTCACTTCATAGACAAGTAAAATATAGATCTAGTTCTAAAATCGCAATACGATCAAATGCGTAACAAATGTTCGTCCAACTGTAAAAACTACAGAGGAAGCCAAGAAAGAATCTCCTACCGTCCCGGTTGAAAACAATCACATTGGAAATGATAACCGGCAAATTGAACTGAACTTCCCAGGAGGGTTCCCACTGAACGCCTGTTTGGCTGCAGGAGCTTTGTTCATCGAAGATGTTGCGCCTGTTTCCGTCCACGGCGTGTGACGACAGACCTCTCTCTGGAAACGTGGTGCTGTTGGACGACTGCCGGGTCTTCTGTTTCAGGGCCAGGTTGCGGGCTGCAACAGTCACATTAAAATTGCCTTATGCACATCCTATGTTGATTTATCTATCTTTTTTTTACTTGAGAGGTGTATTTAGTGAGGTACCCCCCCCCCCCCCCCCCCACCCCCAATCTTTTAATCAGTCATGACAGTTCGTTCCATTAATAAGAATGTTCAACTGTTGCGATCAGGTTTATTTTCAATGTTCAGAAAATTTATTTTTTTTAAATCTCAAATTTCTCATTCAGTATGTTCATCATCATTATGTGCCGTACAAACTGACGTAGGCACTCATGCGTCTTTACAGATCAAGATCCCTGGTTGACTGGAACAGCTCTTATAATGATATCCCTCCATTCCATTGTTTCAGGCTATCAAGCATCATCTCTCTTGGTCTGCTTCGACCCCTTTTTCCACTGATATTTCTAGTTGTCACGATGTTTTCCAATGTCTCTCTTGTCATGACAGTGCTTTCCTTACATATGATGTCAGTGTTATCCTTACATCACTACATATCATGCCAGTGTTTTCCTTACATCACTAAATCTCATGTCAGTGTTATACTTACATCACTACATATCCTGCCAGTGTTATCCTTACAGCACTACATATCCTGTCAGCGTTACCCTTATATCACTAAATATCGTGTCAGTGTTATCCTTACATCACTACCTATCATGTCAGTGTTACCCTTACATCACTACATATCATGCCAGTGTTATCCTTACATCACTACATATCATGTCAGTGTTATCCTTACATCACTACATATCATGTCAGCGTTATCTTTACATCGTTACATATCATGCCAGTGTTATCCTTACAGAACTACATATAATGTCAGTGTTATCCTTACATCACTACATATCACGCCAGGGTTACCCTTACATCACTACACATCATGTCAGTGTTATCCTTACATCACTACATATCATCTAAGTGTTATCCTTACATCACTGCATATCATGTCAGTGTTATCCTTACATCACTACATATCATCTCAGTGTTATACTTACATCACTACATATCATGTCAGCGTTATCTTTACATCGTTACATATCATGCCAGTGTTATCCTTACAGAACTACATATAATGTCAGTGTTATCCTTACATCACTACATATCACGCCAGGGTTACCCTTACATCACTACACATCATGTCAGTGTTATCCTTACATCACTACATATCATCTAAGTGTTATCCTTACATCACTGCATATCATGTCAGTGTTATCCTTACATCACTACATATCATCTCAGTGTTATACTTACATCACTACATATCATGCCAGTGTTATCCTTACGTCACTAAATATAATGCCAGTGTTATCCTTACATCACTACATATCATGTCAGCGTTATCTTTACATCCCTACATATAATGCCAGTGTTATCCTTACATCACTACATATCATGTCAGTGTTATACTTACGTCACTACATATAATGCCAGTGTTATCCTTACGTCGCTACATATAATGCCAGTGTTATCCTTACATCACTATATATCATGTCAGTGTTATCCTTACATCACTACATATCATCTCAGTGTTATCCTTACAGCACTACATATCATCTCAGTGTCATCCTTACATCACTATATATCACGTCATTGTTATCCTTACATCACTACATATCACGCCAGTGTTACCCTTACATCACTACATATCACGCCAGTGTTACCCTTACATCACAACACTTCATGTCAATGTTATCCTTACATCATTACATATCATGACAGTGTGGTCCTTACATTACTACATATCATGTCAATGTTATCCCTACATCACTACATATCATCTCAGTGTTATCCTTACATCACTACATATCATGTCAGTATTATCCTTACATCACTACATATCATGACAGTGTTATCCTTACATTACTACATATCATGACAGTGTTATCCTTACATCACTACATATCATGACAGTGTTATCCTTACATCACTACATATTACGACAGTGTTATCCTTACATCACTACATATCATGACAGTGTTATCCTTACATCACTACATATCATACCAGTGTTATTCTTGCATTTCTACATATCATGCCAGAGTTATCCTTTCATCATTACATATCATGCCAGTGTTATTCTTACATCACTACATATCATGCTTGTGTTATCCTTACATCACTACATATCATGACAATGTTATCCTTACATTACTACATATCATGACAGTGTTATCCTTACATCACTACATATCATGTCAGTATTATCCTTACATCACTACATATCATGACAGTGTTATCCTTACATTACTACATATCATGACAATGTTATCCTTACATCACTACATATCATGACAGTGTTATCCTTACATCACTACATATTACGACAGTGTTATCCTTACATCACTACATATCATGACAGTGTTATCCTTACATCACTACATATCATACCAGTGTTATTCTTGCATTTCTACATATCATGCCAGTGTTATCCTTTCATCATTACATATCATGCCAGTGTTATTCTTACATCACTACATATCATGCTTGTGTTATCCTTACATCACTACATATCATGACAATGTTATCCTTACATTACTACATATCATGACAGTGTTATCCTTACATCACTACATATCATGTCAGTGTTATCCTTACATCACTACATATCATGTCAGTGTTATCCTTACATCACTACTTATCATGTCAGTTTATTCTTACATCATCACGCATTGCGTCAGTGTTATCCTAACAAATCATAAAAAAATATTGTTATCATTATATTATAAAACACCGTGTCAGTGTGATCCTTACATCATTACATCCCAACTGTGCGAGAACGTTAATTGTAAATACCAGTTCGATTCTTCACTAACATTGCTACACAGTTTAGGAACAAAAATAAACATGTAAACTGATTACAGAACTCTAATAGGTAGATATGTGTACTGCTCCAGAGGGGACCAATGCTGTGAAGTGTATTGAAAACGTTACGTGTAAAATTTTGCATTGGCAGCAACGTGGGTCAGACGTTTGCTTATCAGTACAGATTTTAGGGTTCAAATCCTCAGAGGCACCAGGGCTCTCTTTTTCTACCAGTAACGTCGTGAGGTAGATTTAGTTAATCAATCTGTTAGACAGCACGTCCTTGACCTAACTACGCACTCTCCAAGACACGCCTGAAAACATCTCTGTCTCAAACCCATTCTCCAAACATATTTGTTAATTCAATGTCCCGTCTCCACCAGCCCCGATGTCTGCCTCTGTCTTGTTACCCTGGAGACTGCATCCTCCATTACCCTTCGGTCCAGACCACAATGGGAGATAGATCCGCCTTATAACTGATAGTCTGCAGAATGTTCTCGACATTGACTGGGCAAATGTTTTTGTCGTAGTGAAGAGTCTGCTTGCGCCAAGGCTTTCACAAAGCAGAGACAGATGCAGGTTGATGGCGAATGTGTCTTTTCTTTCTTTTTTTTTTTTTCTTTTTTTTTTTCCTTTTGACATTCACATAGCTCTGTTACAATCATCGTATGGTTCATAAACCGCAATTGTCGGTGTATATCGAGCACAGCATGATTTGTTACGGTCTGTGCAAAATAACACTATTTGCAAGGCATTTGAATAATCAGTAATCTAAATGTTGAGTCTCTAGAAGTAAAAGGCTCGATATGGTTGTTGTCCCATCTAGGGATTTGCTGTTAATGTCGTCTGAGACTGAAAGTTTCACATTTATAAAACCACACCTCTGTATACGCTATCTCAGCATAACCCAAAACACACGCACACATGCGCGCGCACACACAGACAAACTCACACACAGAGCCAAAAAACAAGCAAACATAACAAATGAATAATCCTACTGTCTTAAAAAGCTAAGATTCCATTTTGGGATTTATACGTAAAACACAAATAAACATAAATATTCACATCCGCTGACCTGCACTGACGTGGATAGAACAGAGGTAGCCCACGCCCGTCCCATATATCTCCAGTGACCGCAACAGCCAGAGATTGCCACAGATCACATCCATGGACAAGTTGCTCACGGCATACCGTCTTTCAAATAGGCATTGCTCGTTACCGTTCAGAATAAATCTCATTAAATGGAGACTGCCTGAAATGTAAACATGCGAGTCTGAGGACAGTGTCATATTTTACCTCTCTTGCTTATCTAATTATGATAGACACTTTTTGTCAATGTTGTCCTTAAATACTCTGATATTATTGTAATTGTTGAAATTGTTCATCTATTGGCCGGTCCAGATGACTCGGTGTGTGTTGATTCAAACATGCACGCAATTTGCGCCGATTGTAGGTCTTCGCACATATTGATTCGTATATTGCTTGGTTCCAATTTTTTTTTTTTAAACTATATTTAGAATATTCAGGTAAGGTTACTCTAGTGTCCTTACTTTTTAATAGTTTTCTTTTTAAACCAGTGGTTTCCACGCCAGGGTTGGGGGAAAGGTGGGAGGGGGTTGGTGTGGGAGGGGGGGGGGGGCAAGAAAACGTGTAAGAGTTTCAAGGAAGCATCAAGAAATTTTTGCATGTGATTATATTTGTAGTTGTATTTGTAATGGGGGATATTTTCACCCTGATTAGGAAGGTTGGGGGGAAAGGAGCAAGCTAACAATAATACCGAGAGAAGCCAAATACTCGTATTAACCGAGGTTTTCAAGATAGGGGACGACTACGAGTTATCACGTGGAACCCAAGGAAAACGACCACATTTTGCCACGTGGAACCCAAGAACAACCGCGTGTTGCCATATGGAACGAACACTGGGTAATGATCAGACCCCAGTCTGGTCAAGTTAGTATGTGTTAGTATGTGTTGACACTCAGAACGAGAGGACGTGAGAGTGTTCGTGAGAATTACAACGTGAGACTGATTGTTGCGAGAGGAAGACCAGACGACAACATCCTTTTAAGCCAAGCCAGGCCAGTCTGTGTGAAGTCTCTGACAACATTCAGATCCATCCATGCTGCGATGTGGGAGTGAAGACGCCGAACTCTGGTCGATAAATGTGTGAGAAGCCAGCCTGTTGGCGTCTG